GTGTGTGTGTGTGTGTGTGTGTGTTCAGATAATTTTACCACAGAAAAGTAAAATCGGTTTTATGTATTGTTTTTCTTTGGCCTTATTAATGTCCACGACAAGCTCTGCTTTGTGAGGCGATTTCATATCATTAAATAAAATCATTAATTTTTTTTCCCTAAATGCTGTAGGTAGTAATGAGGTTGGGCTCTGCAGGTTCTCGCAACAACAAGGCACGTCTCTTGGCAGGCAGCTTCTCTAATAGCACAAGACTTGACATGAACATGACCTTAGCTGACTGTGGAAGCAGCCCGATCTGGTGACAAGTGACTGTAACGTTCAGGGTTATGTGAGTATTGTCAGACGCAGCTCACACACCCTACACAGTAGACAAGCATTATCCTGACAGTACCCCTCCCCAGATGGGCACCATTGTTCGGATGTAGAGGAAAGAGGACAGAGTGGATCGGCCTGTTCTCAGAAATTTAATTTGCTGAGCAAACTTGCTTCCTTGTAAAAACACTTCCTCTTAAAGGATTAATAAAATAAATCTTCAGTGCAGCTGCAACACCCAAGAGCAGTGAAAACGTAAAGTCTCTGCACGTGTTGTCAAACGTATCGCTTAACAAATTTAAGAAACAAACCCCAGGAAGGGATATTTGAGAAAAACGGTGAGCCCGAGTTGTTTCTAAAGTCTTGTAAACAGACTCAGCAACATTCATGAAGCTCCAAGTCATTTGAGCTGACTCAGCACTGTGTCAGTTTTAAAAGAAAAACACAAAAATGCCCCAAATGGGAACAATACAAAACTTCCTCATTTTACATTCAACCTCCAACCGCTGAGCATGACCGTGCAGAATGAAAGACGTGACTTTGTGGGTTTTTATTTTTATTTTACTGTCATTTAAAAACTGTTTTGTCTCAGGTCATCTGATCACGTTAAAAAAGTCCCTTCAAACTGTGGACAATAAAGTTAACTTGTGAAAAAAATGAAAAGACTCTGTAGAGATAAGTGATAAGTTGCAGGTGATAAAACCTGTAAGGAATGCTATTTGGGTAATTATTGATGTGATGCATGCCCATAGAGACCAGAATTTGTTATCCCCTCTTATAATAAAGCCAAATTTAATGTTTTTAT